CAATCATCCAGGACCTCCCCTGATTGCCATGAGTTTTCAAAAATAATGGCCAGTGGCTCTGCAATCACATCAGCCAATTCGCTCAGCACCCTTGTGTGCATCCCATCTGGCCCCATGGACTTGTACACATCCAGTTTTTCTAAATAGTCCCTAACTTGTCCTTTCACCACTGAAGGCTGCTCACCTTCTCCCCAAACTGTGCTGCCTGGTGCAGTAGTCTGGGAGCTGACCTTGCCTGTGAAGACTGGGGTAAAAAAGGCATTGAGTACTTCAGGCTTTTCCTCATCACCTGTCACTAGGTTGCCTCCCCCATTCAGTAAGAGACCCACACTTACTGAATGGGGGACCCACACACAGATGCATGTATTCTGGCTAAACAGCAGCTAAGTCACCAACCTTCAGGACTTTTTCTGGTCACCAGTTAGAGCCATGAAGGATTTTTTTTCCCGTCATGAATTCTTCAGGCTGCTGGGGAGGTTGGCTTTCATCAGAAGCATTGGACATTAGCCACTGCTAACTGGAGGGATTTGATTTGAATGTGCTCATGCTCCTGCCAACATTTAGAAAAAACAGACATTCCTGGGTACAAAGTCTTGCTTTTCACTCCAGGGTCATCCTAAATTTGGGATCAGGAAGGAGCTTTTCCCCTTGGTCAGATTGGCATGAAGTGTGTGTATGTGTAGCGTGAAGAGGGGCAACGGGGAAGGGGGAGGGGCTACCTCTTTCTGTAGCATGGGGCATGTTTCCTTTCTTAGGATTTTTCAAGCATACATTAATAAACTTGTTTGCTGTTGCAGTGGCAGGGCATGATGAAAGACCTTGTTTCACCCACTTCTATGTATGGCATGGGATAGAGACATTGAGGATGTTGTAGGTATTGTGACTGGTAGCTGTGTGAGAGGGCTTGAAGTAGTGATGTTGGAGATTGTTTTGGCAGTGGATGGCCTGCCAGTGCAGGAGGACAGAAGAGATCATAAAATCATAGAAAATAAGGGCTGGAAGGGACCTCAGGAGATCATCTAGTCCAACCCCCTGCTCAAAGCAGGACCAGCCCCAACTAGATCATCCCAGCCGCAATTTTGTCAAGCTGATCCTTAAAAACCTCCAAGGACAGAGATTCCACCACATCTCTACGTAGGGCGTCCATCATAGAGGACATTCCGGTTTTCTGCTACTCTGTCCTCTGCCCTCTATTGATATGAAACCTGGTGCCTTTATGTCTTGAAGAGAAAAATAGAGGACATAAAGGCATCCGGTTTCATATCAATAGAGGACAGAGTACAACTGGACTGTCCTCCATGATCAACACCCTATCTCTAGGTAACCTGTTCCAGTGCTTCATCACCCTCCGAGTGAGAAAGCTTTTCCTGATATCCAACCTAAACCTCCCTTGCTGCAACTTGAGACCATTGCTTCTTGTTCGGTCATCTGGCACCACTGAGAACTGTGAGCTGGTGCATATGGTGGTGGTGGCAGGGCAAGCAGCCCTCACTCACCTCCCTGCCCCTGAAAGCCATGTCCAGCAAGGCCACAGATTCTGTGGCAGGCCCTGCCCGCTGCTAGCCATATCCTCAAATTCCCTGACCTGCCAGTATCCTGGAAGCCCAGATGCAGTGGCTCAGTAGGTCTAATCCAGCCTGTGGGCTGTATGTTTGATACCCATGCCCCAGGGAAGTTAGCTGTCTTCAGGATGAAGCAACAGCTGAGTGGCAGTCTGAGAGCTCTGGTGATACTTAGTGGTGGACTTAGAAACTTAAAGGTAGATAGGGGCCTAAGTGCCTTTGAGGATCTGTGTCTAAATGACTTAGGAGCACAAATCACATCCATCTCCCACATCCCCAGAAAGGATTATAAACACCTCACTGACATACAGGGCACATAGGGGGGTGATCCCTAACTCAGGCCTGTACATTCTACTTAGTGGCAGGGTGCCCAAAAGTTAAGGGTTGCAACACCGACCCCCTCTTCTGAATTTCACATTAGGTGCCAAAATGCATCTTTAGGCACCTTTAATAATTTAGGTCTAGGGAGGTGCCTAAATTACTTCTGAAAATGAAACACAGGCTTTGAATTCCCTTAGGTACTCTGGAGATTTCTACCCTAGGCCTTTTCATTGATTTACCATTCTTTTAATCAGGTCAGGATGATAGCAGTTCTCATGTGGAAATAATGAACCAGAGTTGATGGTCCACCGGTGAATATTAATGAAATTAATACTCAGAGAGGCTTAATCAATTGCCCAAAGTCATGCAGTTAGGTCATTGTAATAAGTAGTGGACCAGTTCCTAGTCCTCAAAATGTTAATTGGCCACGATTGACATCAGTGGAAGATACTGAGATATGAGATTAGAACCCAGATCTCTCAACTCCTTGTCCAAGTTTTATTCCACTGACCTGCAGCACTCAAAATCAAATGCATTTTACGTGAAAAGCTCAAGTTAACTTGCAGAACATAGCTATTACCTTCTCCAGTCAGAAACAGGCAGCAATTCAGCCATTGCTTCTGAGAGCCTTAAGACACACTGATGCAGCAATAACAGCAAGATAAATGAGTTCCAGAAATGAAAAGAGCTATATTCAAAATATCTTACCTGCTTCCCCCATTTTTGTAAATATATCTATCTTGGCCAATAGTCTAGCATACAAAACCTTAATGTGTTTTCCCAATTCAGGGCAATACTTCTTTTCTCATATTGGAAATATAAAACAGATGATCTAGCACAACTAACGGTTTTCTGGAGTAGGGGGAATACTGGAAAATGCTCCTTGTTAAGCCAGTTTAGTTTCAAGGAAATAAATTGAGTTAAAACAGTGTAATTTGATTCCATTGTCTAAAAATGAGTTCACTGTATGAGACTATTATCTAGGGCTGACCGAGAGAGAGAGAACGCTCTATTCGACAGGTGTTGTAGGTCAAAACAAGATAGGTTGCTAAATAGCTCGAGTGTTGCCATAGGAAGGTATATTAAGTGCCATGTAATTATTACCCTTCAGGATGAGCTGTGTAGCAGAACGCAGCTGGAGATGATTAAAGGCAATAATGCTAGAAGCTGACAGGAAAATACCAGTGTCAAAATTAAATTTGGGAGCTGATTAAGAAAGGGATGGCAACACTTTTGTTTTATAGATGGCAGGACTTCAGTCAGTTTAGAGTCTCTGCTTTCAGACCTGAAATTCTACCTCGTCCTACCACGGTTGTTGTGGGGAAGTAGGGGGTTGTTCTGTTGGGATTGTAGTAGTATCTCAGTCCAAACAATTAGGCCATGGTTCGCCACCATGTGCAAGTGTGGCAGCCACAGAGAGCTGGTTGTGCTTTCCTGCTCCCCACCTTAACAAGCCTCAGTAGAAATGAGAGCATCATGTGGCCTAATTTAACTTCCATTGCTGGCACAGAGCATGCAATGGATATCACAGCAGTTCCAGATGAGTCCCAGTGGTGCTGTGCTTCTGCCTGTCCCTGCCTCTTGCATGCTCTGGCGTGCTGAATCTCTCCCTTCATCTATAGGGTGACTTCTTCAGGTGCTGTAAGTCTGCCCTGCGCCAGGTAAAATGGGTTTAAAACATGAGCCCTGCAAAATCTCTGTAGCCCTATGTCTGTGAATAACTTCTCTCACTGACTAACCCCACAGAATCAAATGGAACTACTAGTGCATCTGATTACTCACAGATGTCAAGCTTGCAGGTTTGGACCCCAATCAGGTATGGTTCAGGACCACATCCTTAGTGATGCAAGTCAGTTGAGGTTCTGTCGGTTTACACTAGCTGAGATTCCTCTCACTACCTTTAGAGTTACATGGTTATTTTGCACACTATACATTACCATAGCTTGTATTACTCTAGTGTGCAGGGTCACATGTCCTGGGCCAAACACAGAGGCAAAAGATGGTCCTTGCCCTAGCAGTGCATGCAAGCAAAGAATAACTTGCAATCTTGCGCATAGCTTCTCAGGGCAAATACACTGCTTTGGGTGGCTCAGGAAAATACCAGTACAGTATTTCTTTTTATTGCCATGATGGTAGAGTGTAGGTACAGAGATCTAGTGACTGTACTGACATTTTTGCATGAAAATTTAGTGTTTTGTTACAGGTCATATCTTCTTAGTGCTTTGAGCCCAGAAATCCTGCTGGAGTCAATACCAGTTTTTGGTAAGGCAGGACTGTAGTAAGACTTAATGTGAATGATCCAAAGCCTCCTCTCCATTATGCAACCCCTTTGGAAGGATAATTTGACACAAATTCATCTCTGAAATTGGGAATGTCTTGAAGTTGGCTGAACATGGCGGCTGTCTGGAACAGCATTATATATTATTATTGTCAAATTGCATTCATTTCAATCTTCACGTGCCTTCTAAGTTGGTGTAGGAAGAACGTGTCACTATACAACTTTAGGGGGTATTTTCGGAACTGTTGCTGTGACCTTGGATTAATTTGTATGAAACAGAAAATTGGCCTAAAGTATAAAACTGGGTTTGATTTTTTGATAATCTGCAGGTGGGCAGAGACCAATTGAATTGCAGTGCTATTGGGCAAGAATAGTGCTACTGAATTTGTGGGTTCCAGTTAATTAATATCTTCACTGTTTATTCACTTAGAACTGTGTGATAGGGTCTACTTTCTGCACATGGCCAGTAACCCCAGTTAGAGCAGTCTATAGCTGCTTTCATTTACACTGGGATGCAAGGGCCAGAATGGAGTGAGAACACATCCTTGGATCATCTGGACATAAGCATAGTGGCCACAGCATTTTTCTTTCTTCCATTTGTACTTTTGCTGCTCTACGGGCAGTAAGGAAGAAATATGGCATAAGAACTTCCCATGTCACTTCTGTACCAGTGGAAATGTGGCTGCTTTACACTCAGATAACATGGAGATTACAGCAAAAACAGGTGCAGAATAGCCCAAGATCCTGGCCTTCTACATAAGTTCCCAGACAGTGTTGATGAGAACGTTTCTAAGTGTTTTTTTTCTGTCCCTTCCCCTCCCTTTATTTTTTTTACAAAGCCCTCGAGAGGGGTTTGACAAAGGCTTTAAAGAAGCTGGATGACTATCTGAGCAACCCTCTGCCTGAAGAGATTGATGCAAACAAACCCCAAGAGGAGAAGGTATCTAAGCGCAAGTTTCTGGATGGGGATGAGCTGACACTTGCTGACTGCAACCTTCTGCCCAAGCTCCACGTTGTTAAGGTAAAAGACCTTATCTGATGCACAAATAACGGTGGTCTGAGAACAGTCTACACATCTGAGCTACCACAGCAGTTCTCTAGCATTGTCGCTACATAAATGAACTTCAGCAATGGAGAGTTTAAAAGTTCCTACAGTCTTGACTAAATATACAAAGCAAATCATACAGAATTTAAAACAGGCTCTTCATTGATAGGACATCTCTTTCCTTTCTGAAAATCTGTCTACCTGTATTTACTTCAAACTTTGTGAATCTGGGTGTACGTGTAGTTTAAGGATCTGACTTTTCTTCCTCTAAACTCAATAGCAAAGCTCCCATCAAGTATGATAAGCTTTAAGTTTTTCTTCCTTCCAAGGTGTTAGGGTTTGGAGGACAGAGGAGATGCTGCTTTAGGCAGACTGCTAGCCAAGTTATTAGGAACCACCAAAGAGTTTCACGCTGATGCTGTCCAGGTTAGCTTGCTTTTCCTTTAATCGTGTGCACTTGTTGCTCATTTCCACTTTATTTCCTTTCAGTTTATTGGGGTTGGTGTCTTTGCACTAAATAGTACCGCTATTTGCAGCTGCTTCTGTCTTCTCATGCTAAACTCACAACTCTAACATATTGGTTTTATAAAGTAGTGGTTGTATAAGCTTTGTGGCTTTTTGGTTATTCCATTAGGAAGCACATTTGAAAGCCAGCTACCATGACAGCTCCAAAACCTTGTTAGCCAGATTCTAGCTTTCCAACAGATCATGTTGTAAATGGGGTTTTTAAAAATGTATTCTGCCTATTGTGTGCAGACTTGAGATAAGGCAGCACATTGTAGGCATGAAAATAAAAACTTAAAATTAGATCTCAGGCTCAGATCTACAAAGGTGTTTAGATACCTAAGGCCTATTAGGCATCTAACCTCACATTGATTTCAAGTGTCGGGATACTTGAGCCAGCATTCAGCACCCAGGCTAATTTGTCCTCCTGAGAAGCAGGGCAAATTGGCCTACGTAACGTTCAATGGTGCCATAGCTAAACTCTTCCCTGTACTTGAGCCAGCTTGGACATCTCGACATAACCCTGCACTTTGTAGACATGTCCTCTGTCTTGATAGTCCTGAGGAGGTAGACATTGAACCCGGTCAGGATCTACAGAGTAGGTGTTCTTCCTCTCATGGCATTTTACCTGCTGGGCCTGGTCCAATAGGTATTCTAAAACCACCTGTAGGCTCAAGCCCTGTACAAAGCCTGGCTGGAGAAAGGTGATGGCAGTGTCCCTATTTTGCCAATGACTTAGTGGTTAGGTTCAAGTCTTTTAAGGCAAAAGAGGAAATTATACCTGGGCCGCCTTTATGCTTGGTGAGTCTGGTAACCACTGGACTACACATAAGGGAGGGCACTATCACCTCTTTTTAAATGACCATGTTTTGTGGGAAAGA